GGGGGACATGCGTGGGGATAGGGGGACCGGGCAAGGGGACATGCACAAGGGCAGGGGGACATGCATGGGGACATGGGGTCAATCATGGGGACATGCATGGGGATATGGGTACGGGGCAGGGGGACATGCATGGGGACATGGAGTCAATCATGGGGACATGCATGGGGATATGGGTACGGGGCAGGGGGACATGCATGGGGACATGGAGTCAATCATGGGGACATGCATGGGGATATGGGTACGGGGCAGGGGGACATGCATGGGGACATGGAGTCAATCATGGGGACATGCATGGGGATATGGGGACACACATGGGGATGGGGGACAGGGCAAGGGGACATGCACAAGGGCAGGGGGACATGCATGGAGATGGGGGACAGGGCAAGGGGACATGCACGGGGACATGGGGTCAATCATGGGGACATGCATGGGGATATGGGGACACACATGGGGATGGGGGACAGGGCAAGGGGACATGCACAAGGGCAGGGGGACATGCACGGGGACATGGGGTCAATCATGGGGACATGCATGGGGATATGGGGACACACATGGGGATGGGGGACAGGGCAAGGGGACATGCACAAGGGCAGGGGGACATGCACGGGGACATGGGGTCAATCATGGGGACATGCATGGGGATATGGGGACACACATGGGGATGGGGGACAGGGCAAGGGGACATGCACAAGGGCAGGGGGACATGCACGGGGACATGGGGTCAATCATGGGGACATGCATGGGGATATGGGGACACACATGGGGATGGGGGACAGGGCAAGGGGACATGCACAAGGGCAGGGGGACATGCATGGGGACATGCATGGCAATATGGGGACAGGGCAGTGGGACGTGCATGGGGACATGGGGTCAATCATGGGGACATGCATGGGGATATGGGGACACACATGGGGATGGGGGACAGGGCAAGGGGACATGCACAAGGGCAGGGGGACATGCATGGGGACATGCATGGCAATATGGGGACAGGGCAGTGGGACGTGCATGGGGACATGGGGTCAATCATGGGGACATGTACAGGGACATGGGAACATGCGTGGGGATAGGAGGACAGGGGCAGGAGGGGGACAAGATAAGGGACATGGGGACATGCATAGGGACATGGGGACATGCATGGGGATGGGGGACAGGGCAAAGGGACACACATGGGGACATGGGGTCAATCATGGGGACGTGCATGGGGACATGGGGACGCACATGAGGACATCCAGAGGGACAGAGGGACACGTGCAGGGACAGAGGGACAGGAACACAGGGACAGGGATGTGGGGACATGCCAGGGGACACTGGGGCATGGGGTGGGGGACATGGACTTGCTCCGGGATGGAGGCATGGGGACATGCCCAGGGGCACGGCGATGGGGACAGGGCACATGGCACCGAGACAGGGCACGCACGGGGGCATGGGACACCCATAGAGATGGGGACAGGGGGACATGTCTGGGGACAGAGGTGGGGACACACGTGAGCATGGGGTATGTGGCACTGGGGACACATGGAGGGACACACATGGGGCAGGACATGGCACAGGGATGGGGGGACACGGGACAGAGCCCCTGGCAGGGGATCAGGGCTGCGGCGCTGACCCCCGCGTCCTCCCCCCCCACCCTGGTGTCCCCAGATCAACATGATGCTGCAGTACAAGGCGGGGGCGGACGAGGAGGAGTGCCCAGTGCCCGAGGACATCCGCGACGAGCTCCTCGACTTCCACAACGACCTGCTGGCGCACTGCGGTGAGCCCGGGGACAGCCCGGGAATGGGGGGACGTCCTCCGGGACGCCTGGGACCACGGGGAGCCCCATCCAAGCCATGGGGACCTAGCAGAGACAAGGGGACACCTCTGTCCTGTGGGCATGGGGACGTCCTCCTTCCTGGGGTCACCAGGATGCCCACCCAGGACCCCCATGGGGACAGCCCGGGGACGGGGGGACATCCTCCGGGACGCCTGGGACCACGGGGAGCCCCATCCAAGCCATGGGGACCTAGCAGAGACAAGGGGACACCTCTGTCCTGTGGGCATGGGGACGTCCTCCTTCCTGGGGTCACCAGGATGCCCACCCAGGACCCCCATGGGGACAGCCCGGGGACGGGGGGACATCCTCCGGGACGCCTGGGACCACGGGGAGCCCCATCCAAGCCATGGGGACCTAGCAGAAACAAGGGGACACCTCTGTCCTGTGGGCATGGGGACGTCCTCCTTCCTGGGGCCACCAGGATGCCCACCTAGGACTCCCGTGGGGACAGCCCGGGGACGGGGGGACATCCTCTGAGACTCAGGGACACCTGGGACCACGGAGAACCCCATCCAAGCCATGGGGACTCTGCATGGGGATGCCCTGGGGATCCAGCGGGGACAAGGGGACACCTCCATCCTATGGGTGAAAGGATGGCCAACCAGGACATGGGGACCCCACTTCCTGGAGCCACCAGGATGCCCACCCAGGGGCACGAGGCCCCCTCCCTCCCTCGCCCCCGATGGGTCACCAAGACCACCGATGACCCCCACCCTGCTTTGCATTTCGCGCCGCAGGCATCGAGCTGGCCGGCGAGGAGGAGGAGGAGGAGGAAGACGCGTCCCTGCGGCACCGGCTCATGGGCCTGGTGCAGAAGGTCGTCGGTCTCC